TCACCACATGACGCCAGGCATTGGTGGCCGTGGAGTCAGATATTTCTAGGCCTCTGCTTTTCAAAATGTACTCTAGAGCCCTGCAGGCTGTCACGTCACTCTGTCCACACAGCCTCCCATGGTGCCCGCGAGGAAGGGACAAAGGGAACAACAGGACAGAGAAGTGCAGGGACTTCCCCATGTTATGGGACTCACCCTGACACGCAGGCGGATTACTTCACGGCGACTACCGCGGTTGTGGGGGCCACTCCGCTGGCTGATCACCCTTCGTCGACCTTCTTTCAGGACCGAGCCGTCGGGGGCCTCACTCGCTCACCTTCTACCCACGAGTTTTAGAAACGCCTCCCACGGGGCACCACTCTGTCGGGCCCGCCGCCGGCGACTCCAATAGCCCTAGCCTCGTTCCTTTTGGTGGACGAGCAAATGGCCCGGGATTCCTCTTTCCCTCCTGTCCCCTTTAGAAGGAGACGGGGGAAGAGAGCCATGAGGAGAGGTGAGCACCACCACCGGCCCCAAACCAGCCCCGTTAAAGGACACTCAGACGCGGCGGGGGTTCTGTCAAGCTGTGCCAGGCCAGATGCTCCGGGATAAGAGCTTTTTATAAACACTAGTTTCCGGCCACTTTGGCCTTTAATGCTTTCGGTAGCAATTGGAACTCTCCCCCTAAAAGAAACAGAAATGGGCCTGCCAGCCCGCCCACCAGCCTGCCTCCCCCTGGCCGGCTTGGCTCCTCGGCGCTGCCTGGGGTCCTTTCCGCCTGGTCCCCGCCACCAGCCCCCGCTGTGCTGTGCCCTGTCCGGTCAGGCCTGGAGCCGACACCACCGCCATCATGCCGGCCGTGTCTCAGAGCGATGGGATGCAGGGGCTCGCGGTGTTCATCTCCGACATCCGGAACTGTGAGTGCGAGGAGGCAGAGATTAAGAGAATCAACAAGGAACGGGCCAACATCCGTTCCAAGTTCAAAGAGGACAAAGCTTTGGATGGCTACAGTAAGAAAAAATATGTGTGTAAACCGCTCTTCATCTTCCTCCTTGGCCATGACAGCGACTTTGGGCATATGGAGGCCGTGAACCTGCTTAGCTCCAGTAAGTTCACAGAGAAGCAGGTAGGTTAACCTGTTCATCTCTGTGCTGGTCAACTCGAACTCTGAGTTGATCCGACTTATCGACAACGCTATCAAGAACGACCTAGCCAGCCGCAACCCCACCTTCATGTGCCTGGCCCTGCACTGCATCGCCAACGTGGGCAGCCGCGAGGTGGGCGAGGCCTTTGCTGCCGACATCCCCTGCATCCTGGTGGCTGGGGACAGCATGGACAGCGTGAAGCAGAGTGCGGCTCTACAAGGCCTCACCTGACCTGGTGCCCATGGGCGAGTGGACAGCCCGTGTGGTGCACCTGCTCAATGACCAGCACATGGGTGTGGTCACGGCTGCCGTCAGCCTCATCACCTGTCTCTGCAAGAAGAACCCAGACGACTTCAAGACGTGCATCTCCCTGGCTGTGTCTCGCCTAAGCCGGATTGTCTCCTCTGCCTCTACTGGCCTTCAGGACTACCCCTACTACTTTGTCCCAGCACCCTGGCTTTCAGCGAAGCTCCTGTGACTGTTACAGTGCTATCCCCCACCAGAGGACGCGGCTGTGAAGGGGCGGCTGGTGGAATGTCTAGAGACCGTGCTCAACAAGGCCCAGGAGCCACCCAAGTCCAAGAAGGTGCAGCACTCTAATGCCAAGAATGCCGTCCTCTTCGAGACTATCAGCCTCATCATCCACTATGACAGTGAGCCCAACCTCCTGGTACGGGCCTGCAACCAGCTAGGTCAGTTCCTGCAGCACTGGGAGACCAACCTGCGCTACCTGGCCCTGGAGAGTATGTGCGCCCTGGCCAGCGGGATGTCAGTGTGAGGCAGCGGGCAGCCGACCTCCTTTATGCCATGTGCGACCAGAGCAACACCAAGCAGATCGTGTCTGAGGTGCTGCGGTACCTGGAGACAGCTGACTATGCCATCCGTGAAGAGATTGTCCTGAAGGTGGCCATCCTGGCAGAGAAGTACGCAGTGGGCTACAGCTGGTACGTGGACGCTATCCTCAACCTCATCCGCATTGCGGGCGACTACGTGAGTGAGGAGGTGTGGCACCATGTGCTGCAGATTGTCACCAACCGTGATGATGTCCAGGGCTATGCTGCCAAGACTGTCTTTGAGGCACTCCGGGCCCCAGCCTGTCATGAGAGCATGGTGAAGGTCGGCGGCTACATCCTTGGGGAATTTGGGAACCTGATTGCTGGGGATCCCCGCTCCAGCCCCCCGGTGCAGTTCTCCCTGCTGCACTCCAAGTTCCACCTGTGCAGTGTGGCAACACGGGCCCTGCTGCTGTCCACCTACATCAAGTTCATCAACCTCTTCCCTGAGACAAAGGCCACCATCCAGGGTGTGCTGCGGGCCGGCTCCCGGCTGCGCAATGCCGACGTTGAGCTGCAGCAGCGTGCTGTCGAGTACCTCACCCTCAGCTCAGTGGCCAGCACGGATGTCCTGGTCAGAGCCTTGGTCCCCCCACTCCCTCCCTCTGGCCCTTGGCCCCCCTTTTCTTGTGATCACAACTGACACCTTTCCCTGACCACTCCCTACACCAACCCCACCAGGCCACAGTGCTGGAGGAGATGCCACCCTTCCCGGAGCGTGAGTCATCCATCCTGGCCAAGCTGAAATGTAAGAAGGGGCCTGGGGCTGGCAGCGCCCTAGATGATGGCCAGAGGGATCCCAGCAGCAATGACATCAATGGGGGTGTGGAGCCCACCCCCAGCACCGTGGTGAGTCCTGTGGTGTGGGCCCCATATAGTCAGCTGGGGCTGGGGTTGGCCAAGGCACCACCTTTTCTCACCTTCACCTGCTCCTCCTGCAGTCTACACCCTCGCCTTCTGCTGACCTTCTGGGGCTGCGGGCAGCCCCTCCCCCAGTAGCACCCCCAGCGGCTGCAGGTGCGGGAAACCTTCTGGTGGATGTCTTCTCTGATGGCCCGGCTGCCCAGCCCAGCCTGGGGCCCACCCCGGAGGAGGCCTTCCTCAGGTACTGCCCACCCCCTGTGGCCAGGCCCTCTTCTACCCCCAGGGCAGCCCCTTCTCGGCCTCTGCCTCCTTTTTCGTTCAGCTCCTCTCCACCCCAACTTGCTCTTTTCTCCCTGTCCCTGATGCCTTTGCCAGCCCCAGCCGCTGCCTGCCCTGCCCCTGGCCTCGCTCCCTCCGGCCACTCTGGACTCTGCCGACCCTGGCCACTCTTTATTGTCCTTTCCCTTCACCATTTCTCAGCCTGCTCTTCCTTCTCTCCTTCCCTCCTCCCTCTTTCTCTCCCCCCCCCACCCTCTTGCTGCCTCTCTGGGATTGGCTGCCTGCCACACCTGTCTTCTCTTGTCTGCTCTGGGATTGGATGGCCCAGTGAGCTGGAGCCGCCTGCCCCTGAGAGTCCCATGGCTTTGCTGGCTGACCCAGCTCCAGCTGCTGAGTAAGGGATGACCTTAGGAGGTTGGGGGGCAGACTCTGGTGTCCCCAGGGAGGGTGAAGGGACTGGGAGCTCTCATCTAGGGGTTCTTGATAAGCAGCAGAAACAGGGACTTGGAGGAAAGTGAAACTCGGGGTCCTCTGATGGGGGGGCACATACCAAGGTCCCATTCACATTAGGGGCAACTGCCTGTCTCCCTCAACAGGAGGCACAGAAAATCTTCAAAGCCAACCACCCCATGGACGCAGAAGTTACTAAGGCCAAGCTTTTGGGGTTTGGCTCTGCTCTCCTGGACAATGTGGATCCCAACCCTGAGAACTTTGTNAGTGCTGGAGGAGATGCCACCCTTCCCAGAGCGTGAGTCATCCATCCTGGCCAAGCTGAAACGTAAGAAGGGGCCTGGGGCTGGCAGCGCCCTAGATGATGGCCGGAGGGATCCCAGCAGCAATGACATCAACGGGGGTGTGGAGCCCACCCCCAGCACCGTGTCTACACCCTCGCCTTCTGCTGACCTTCTGGGGCTGCGGTCAGCCCCTCCCCCAGTAGCACCCCCAGCGGCTGCAGGTGCGGGAAACCTTCTGGTGGATGTCTTCTCTGATGGCCCGGCTGCCCAGCCCAGCCTGGGGCCCACCCCGGAGGAGGCCTTCCTCAGCCCAGGTGCTGAGGACATCAGCCCGCCCATCCCAGAAGCCGATGAGCTGCTGAATAAGTTTGTGTGCAAGAACAATGGGGTCCTATTTGAGAACCAGCTGCTGCAGATTGGAGTCAAGTCAGCGTTCCAGCAGAATCTGGGCCGCATGTATCTTTTCTATGGCAACAAGACCTCGGTGCAATTCCAGAACTTCTCACCCACTGTCATCCACCAGGGAGAACTCCAGACTCAGCTGGCTGTGCAGACAAAACGCGTGGCGGCACAGGTGGACGGCGGGTGCAGGTGCAGCAGGTGCTCAACAGCGAGTGTCTGCGGGACTTCCTGACGCCCCCGCTGCTGTCAGTGCGCTTCCGGTACGGTGGCGCCCCCCAGGCCCTTACCCTGAAGCTCCCGGTGACCGTCAACAAGTTTTTCCAGCCGACAGAGATGACAGCCCAGGACTTCTTCCAGCGTTGGAAGCAGCTGAGCCTCCCTCAACAGGAGGCACAGAAAATCTTCAAAGCCAACCACCCCATGGACGCAGAAGTTACTAAGGCCAAGCTTTTGGGGTTTGGCTCTGCTCTCCTGGACAATGTGGATCCCAACCCTGAGAACTTTGTAGGGGCTGGAATCATCCAAACTAAAGCTCTGCAGGTGGGCTGTCTGCTCCAGCTGGAGCCCAACGCCCAGGCTCAAATGTATTGGTTGACCCTGCGCACCAGCAAAGAGACCGTCTCCCGTCACCTGTGTGAGCTGCTGGCCCAGCAGTTCTGAGCCCTGGACTCTACCCCTGGGGATGTGATCGG